ACTGTTTTCAGGAAGCACTTACAGGAAACTCTTTTTTAACACTCCATATCCCTAAATCAATTTGTCTGATACTTGTCAAAAGTGTGCCATTATTGCTATATAATTTATTTCATTCTGTCTCCAAATTATAAAGTTTAGATCTTAAAAATATAAAATAATCAATGAACATAGTTTGTATCAATTTCTAACAATGCAAAAACATTTCCTCCCATACTTATAGTGGTCATCAAATCAAATTATACTGTTTCTGAAATGACTAGCAGTTCTCATGGTTGACTTTTGCATGTTCTTAATGTATTGTTAATTAATACTTAGAAGAATAGATTATTATGCTTCTACAAAGGAATGATTATCATTTTCATCTCTATAACTGTCTGGTTAGGCACAGCAACCAAACAAGATTGACACAGACTTCAACAGATAGTTAGGGCTGCAAAAAAAAACCCCAAAAACAATTGTAACAAGTCTGCCTTCCTTTGGGTACCTGTATGCTGCACAAGCCAGAAAGAAGTCTATGAAAATATCTACAGGCCCTCCACAACCTGGATATAAACTGTTTCAACTTCTTCCCTCAAGGTGATTCTATAGAGATACTGTAAGCCAAAACTAGACAAGGGCAGTTTTTCTTCTCATGCCATAATTCTATTAAAAAGCTAATTCCCGCAGCACTGCCTTATGGCCTAAGACAGGGGTCCCCAACCACTGGGCTGTGGACCGGTACCGGTCCGTGGAACATTTCCTACCGGGCCACCGGTTTGCTGGACGTCGCCATCTTGTTTGACGAGAAATTGCTTCCGGGTGAGCTTTTCCGGTTGGAAAGCGGCATTTGGGTCCTGAAGGAATCTTCGCGCCTTAGTTTCATCAAAGGTGGGGGCTTTGAACGAAACTAAGGCACGAGGATTCTTTCAGCACCCTAGGCAAGGCAAGCCGAGCGACCGTCCCGAAGCCATCCTGAAGCGAAGCCCATCGACAAAGGTACAAAGGAGGAGCTGAAGGTGGCGGAGAGAAGCAGGGATGGCTGGCTGGCCGGTCGCTCGGCTCATCTTGCCTTGTCATGCGTGCTGATGCCAGTACCGGGCCGCAGATCATTTTGTGATGCCGGTACCAGGCCGTGGCATAAAAAAGGTTGGGGGCCACTGGCCTAAGATATCAAACCACTTAATAAAGTCGTATTCATACTATTATCCTTCTCATCTTTCCTATTACCAATTTCCCTTAGTTTCTTCTAAACAAACTTCTATACATTTTGTTTATAACTTATGATTTATGTTTATTGCTTTTGTTAGTATCCTATTACAGTATGGTTTATGTTGACTGCTTATTTAGTATTCGATGACAATCACTGAGTGTTGTATCTTATGATTTATAATTGTACTTTATTATTATGATCATGATTTATCACTTGTTGCTTATATGTACACTGAGAGCTTAAGGCGCTAGAAGCAAATTCCTTGGGTGTCCAATCACACTTGGCCAATAAAGAATTCTATTATACTCTAAAATTTGTAACTTCTTCCAATATTAAGCAAGATAATGCTGTATAAAAAACCTGGATACGAAATTTCAAATAAGATATGACATCCAAGGTGAAGTACAGAACAAAATAACTTTCAACTATACTGAAACAGTTATTTTCAATTTTATTTCTGTAACTCCAACCCCCTAATAGAAAGGTACTATCAATGGATTCTGTACTTACAGAAATAAAATTATCATACTCATGTAAAACAAGAGACTAATATTTGAATATTCTGTTAAAAATGCTATGCAATTGGGATATGCAAAACATTTCAATGTCAAGAAATTTAATTCAAGCATTCCAAGCTTAAGACATACACAGATGTATTCCAAAGTCTGAAATGAAACTGGAAGAAAGCACACATCTGATTATTTCAAACAATGTTAAGTCATAAGCTGATTTAAAAACTGTTTACTGTTTTTTGTTTTCAACTGAATTTTTCTTTCATAAATTTTCCATCCTACTAATAAGGCAGCAAGGACTCATATTCCTATTTGTATTGGTTTAGATTGAACATTGGGCTGAAGTTTGAGAATAAAGTGTACTATAGGGTCAGGAACACAGCCCTAACTACTCAAAGACATCTGACTCGCAAGTAACTTTTTTAAAAAATGGAGACATTACTTATCAATGTGCTGCTGTATCTTCAACTGCATTTTACTTTGCAGAGGGATAATGAAGGGGTAGAGTCAGTTAGTTGTAGTTTCAGGCTAGAAACTGAGACCATGAGTTTCAGGCTTACCTTAGGCACAAAGCCAGCTAAGTGATCTTGCACTCAGCCCTGGGAAGGATGCAATGGCAAACCACTTCTTTAAAATGCTGAAACCAGAAGATTCTGTATTATGTTAGGAGCGTGAATGAGTTATGCTTTCATATTTCTAAACCACTAAAGATTTGTTTCTATTTAACTTCTATTACTCGTTTTCAAGGTACATACCTATGAACATGAAAGAATGTTGCATTTTTCTGTAAACTTTTCTGATTTACTTACTGGTTGCAGAACAGGATTTCAAGGGAGACGTTTTTGTAGTATTGTATTTTTCTGCATATTTATATGTATTTAAATTATAAATACAACATTATGTTTAGCCAAAACATAATGGGCTTTTTGTTAAGTTCTTTATTAGAAACAAAAAGCCAACTCTTTAGCAATGAATAAGGTTTGCACTGGTTAACTTAGCTTTATCTTTCCAGAAGCAAGTCACACCTGTTGGTGTTAAAATGTCTGTTAAAGTAGGTGCTAAGGGAAAGAAGGTAGCTGAACAATTAGCTCTGGTGACTGAATGTCTCAGTGAGAAATTATGTTTGGAACTGAAAACTGGATTCTGATTTAATTCTATGTTAGAAGGAATTTCTTTTTTAAATTTTCAAAAATTGATTTTTTTGGAATCCATGATTTTTCTGCAAGTTTGAATTTTGTGCTTCTCAATTATTGAACTGTCAATTATTTCACTCATCAAAGGCAATGAATATGTGCGCACCAAAATTACAAAGAATGTCTGCATATGGCATGTTCTCCTGAAAGTAAGTTTTGTTTTGCACAGAAATATAGGTTTATCATAATTTCTATACAAATTGGAGCATATCAAATTTTATTTATCATCTACCAAAATATCAATAATCCAAAGAATTAATCCTCTATGTGTATGCCATAACTCACCAAGAACTGGGAGCAGCAAATAATCAAAAAATAAACTTATGCAGGGGTTCATTTCTATTTTTTTTATTCTACGTAGGAAGCCATCCAAAAAGGACATACTGTACATACTGTCTGCTATAGTTGGCAGAATTATCCCTATTAGTCTAGCTCAGGAATGGGGAACCTATAGCTCTCCTGATGATGTTGAACTTTAATCTGCAGTTGCATTAGCCACTTCGGCTAACAGTGACAAATGCTGGGAAGATCACAGCTATCGATTCTTGTCTTAACTGAAAATGCAAAGGACTAGTAATAATTTTTGAATGTAAACTAAAGTCTTCACCATTGAACTATGTATTCTCTCCAAATCTGAAACTCAATTCAAAAATCAACTCCCTCTAGTAGTACCGGTAGTAGTAGTAGTAGTAGTAATAGCAGCAGCAGTGTGTAATGGTTATAACACATCTGTAGCTGTAACAAACCAATCAGTAATAAAAATGAATGTGGCTTTATCCAAAGTAAGCTGGCCAGTCATTGACTGTTGAATGGAATACAATTTTAATAAATTATTTACTGTAAATACTATTTTTAACTCAAGATTCTCAGCTGCTACCAAGCCAATAACAAATAATCCCTAATCAGATTCAAGAGTCAGAAAAATACATAAGGTTGGATAGTTTTAAACATTCCAGTACTAATAAAAGTTAAATATTGCAGTATCAATTAAGGTTTACATCAGAAAATAATTTTTTCCATGGAAATATTTTGTATTTTTAAGAGTGAAAACAATACAACAATATCAATTTATCATAACAATTTTATCTTAACAATTTTTCTATTTAAGTTGACCAATTTGGTTACAAATCAGAAATTTCAGATGCTATTTTATGGATACCAGCTTCAATCTTTAGTATAATTGTGCCATGTGGTGTTAAGATTCAAAGAAAATAGGATTCCATGTTACTTCATTTAAATAGAAATATAAGCAAGTATAGTACCCAACCAGTCAGTCCCCAAAACATGGAATATTCTACATGTTTTCATGTGAAAACAAGCTATACTTTCTCTTCCAAAATTTTGCTGCTCAATATAGAATGGATTAGGGATTGAAGATATGGGACAAATCCAAATTTTGTGCATAGTTAAATATATCCAATGCTGACTTCTTGAAAGGAATGTTTAGGTACTATTTGATTTCAACTAGTTTCCATACTAAGGCTAAGAAATTATTTTAATATTATATGTTTGCCAACATTTGAAGATTAGTGATGTATAAAATTTGATGATCTGGGAATGAAAATTCCAGTGTATTCTAAAATATTTTGTTTACTTAGTCCATACCATTTCTGAGACCGTTTGGCAGATTTTGCAAGCGAAGACACTGAGTTGGAAGCAGTTTAAATTTTGCTGGAATTGTCTGGCGCCAAAGCAGATCTGCTTCATCCAGAACACCATCTTTGGATGATCTCAAAATACTCCTGAAATAGTATGCTCTGTAGGAGAATGCTACAGAATGTTCCATTTTAAGATTGAAAAAATTCTGATTCCTAATGGATAGTTTAATATTCAGACAGAAAAAAGAAAAAGTTCATGATTATCTTTTCAATAAGGTTTTAAAATAAGACAGAAAAATTATAATGACTTAAACCAGCCTTTCTCAATCATATTCTTCTACAGAAATTATTTTTGGGTCATAGGAAATCCCTGCATAAAAACCATAAATATAAAAATTTCAAAATACATTTCTAACCCCACAATCCACATTTTACAATGGTTATGCCAACAACAAAGTAACCAATCCTCAGTCCAGATTTTAAAATTCCCATTGCTGTAAGTATTTACCTGAGTAGATTTGTCCTTCATGCATGAAGGATAATGTATATGAGGATCTCGGGGCCACTGTCCTGTGAGGTAAGGTCCTGTTATTGTATCCAATGAAGAGGTCCGTCTTATAGTACTAGATGTTCTAATTTGCTGGACTTTTGGCTTGTCTACTGAAACAAAAACATATTATATGCAAGATTATAAGTATAGGGTTATAGTTTCCATCCTGTTTTTAGTGTGACAATTTACACAAAAAATCAATGAATTACCAACAATCTCTTTCATTTACAATTTCATTCTACATCTTTTTTCTCAAGAAAGGAATTCCAGCAATTAGAATTATGATAGAAGAAATAGGCATGCTACAATAGATCTATTGTCAAGATAAAACTTAGTTTCTTTATTCATCCTTATTTCTTTTAGATATTTCTATTTAAAATCTAAGCTTTTATGATATTTCTTTTGAGGGCATACATTTTGATAAACAAATTTGAACACTTAAACCAAGCATGTATGTGGCTTGCCTTTTTACTGGTTTTATTAAGGAAAAGAACTATTCTACGTAGCATGGCTTGGGTCTATGGTACAGTGAACATTTTCAATATTTCTGCATAAATATGACCTAAAACATGATGTGTATTCCATACAAGTCCTAAATAAATAAAGAGAATCTAATTAAATAAATGCACCAAAAACATTACATTTGTTCATTTATTCATTGAGGACAATCTCAAACTATTTATTAGTGTGTAATAAAATTATATGAGTCTTTGCTTTCAGTAATTGGCAAGCTCCTTTGGTAGCAATAACTGCAACAAAATGTTTATGGTAACCATTGATCAGTCCTGCATGTAGGCTTAGAGGCTTTTTAGTCCTTGCCTCCTTAACAGGCAGTATCGAGGTGGGCTTCTTCACATGAACTTCCCGCTTCTGGTCCTATCACTATACTTCTAATAGGATTAATGCCAAGACTTTGACTTGGCCATTCCAAACATTAGCTTTCTTCTGCTTTCACCATGCATTTATACTACAAATTGTATGTTTTGTATCGTCTCACTATATGACCCACTTTTTTTTCAGCTTCAGTTCATTGACAGATACCCTGATTTTCCTGTAGAATTTGTTGGTACAATTCATTATTCATAGTTCCATCAAAGATAGCAGGTTGCCCTATGTCAGAGGAAGCAAAGCAGGCCCAAATTAAGATAATGCCAGTACCATTTTTAGGCTGAAATGTTTGCCTTTCAACAAACATAACATTTTTCATTCAAGTAAAAAAAGCCTATTTTAATCTCCTCCATTCACAGAACATTCTTACAACAGCCTTCTGCCTTATCCACATGGCCTTTTGCAAACTGCAGTTGGGCAGCAATGTTATTTTTGTAGAATAGTGGCTTTTCCCCTGTAATCCTGCAATGAACACCTCTGTTATTCAGTGATCTCCTGATGGTGGTCTCATAAACCTGACATTTGCCAAGGCAAAAGAGGCATTTAATTCTTCAGAAGTTAGCATGAGCTTCTTTGAGTCCTCTTAAAATATTACACAACTTCCCTTGATGTGATCTTGTTTTTCAGACATTCCCAGGGAGAGTAAAAAGGCATTGCACTGCCTCCATCTGTTCATGATTTGCCTGACAGCGAACTGGTAGAGTCCAAACCTTTCAAATAGTTCTGTAACTTTTTCTAATCTGGTGAGTATCAACAACCATTTTTAGTTGTTTGCATAAATTTATTTTGTTAGATTTATGGCACATTTTCACATACCTATGTTGTGAAAATCAAATTCGAATAGCACATTCCTAATATTCTGGCCTCCTACAATGGATTAATCTTCTATCAATTGCAACATGATTCTAATTTCCCCACTGGATGCATCCTAGATGTTTATATGCCTCAATCTTAGAAATTTAAAAACTAAGCATCATGTAAATATATATGAAAATACTTTGAAAACAATTTTGTTTCCAAAGTTATGATAGTTGTGACAGCTAAGTATTTAGACAAATACTATTAAGAAAATAAAGCTTTCTGTTAGGAATACAGAATCTTGTCATTTTCTTTCAGCACATTGAATTTATTTCCTTAATGCAATATAAAAATTTCCCCAATTACACAGATAAGGTATTATATAAAATCCACATTTGCAAGATTTTCCATTTCTATTCTCTTGTCAGGGGTTCCCAGTCCATAGACCATGGACTAGCACTGGTCCATGGCCCGAGAGGAATCAGACTGTGCAAGCGAGCAAAGCTCCATCTGTGTACCCATGGGATCCAGACCATGTGTGAATTCACACCCGCACTCTGTTGCAGAAAAACTGCCCTCCACAGAACCAGTCTCCAGCACCTATAAGGTTGGGGATCACTGTTCTAAATCATTCTGCTAGAATGGATCAAAAAGATAACATACTAATAAAACATTTCATTTATTAAATATGAAAGTTACATATGGACTGGGGAAAACATACCATGGAAATGCCATCTTTAGTAATAAGACTATACACTACACACACACACATACAGTAGAATCTCAGGTTGCGACCATAATCCGTTCCAGGATTATGGTCGCAACCTGATTTGGTCGTGACTGGAAATACGACCGTCTGCACATGCATGGATCAAAAAAAACTAACAAAAACTGGCACCAAAGGGGAAATCGCCGTGGCAGGGAAAATTGCCGCAGCAATTTTCAGGCTTGGTTGGTCACCACCCGAAGTTCTGTTTGCGACCAGAAGCAAAACAGTAGCAAAAATACTGGTTGTCACCTGAGGTTCCACTGTATATGCACATACACCCACCCACACACACTTTTCCCCCAAAATAAGACCCTGTCTTATTTTTTTTGCCACCCAAAAAAACACCCAATCTATTTTCAGCGGATGTCGTCCACTGACTCACCTCACTTGTGTGCATCTTCCCCGACCTCCTTTTCACTGTCAGAGGCTTTTAGGAACTTTTTCTGTGGCTGGCAAGGCTTTCCTAAAGGCCTCTGCAGCCAATAACAGAGCCCCAGATTGATCCAAGCTCTACTATCAGCTACAGAGGCCTTCAGAAAAGCCTTGCCAGCTGCAGGAGAAATGGGCCAGCAGGGCAGGTGTCAGGATGTGAGAGGCCTGGATGCAACTATCCAAAGGTTTAGTAGTAGGGCAGCTCCACCCCTCATCCCCACCCTAGCTTAATTTTTACTTGTGCACCCTGCTGTGGGCAGGGTCTTAATTATTGGGGGTGGGGTTAGGGCTTATATTGATACATACAAAAATCAAGCTAGGACTTACTTTCAGGGTAGGGCATATTTTGGGGGAAACTCTGTGTGTGTGTGTGTGTGTGTGTGTGCATGCACATGTGTGTATAATATCCATTTATGCGCCAATCTTCTGCCTTGTCCAGATCTATCACCTCAATATCTTAACTTAATCTTTGCAATTTTGAGAGTCATTTAAGTTCTTTTTGCAATTTAATTAAATGCCTAATGCAAATTCAAAATGAGGCAATTTACAGTATGTTTTTAACTATTTTATATTTTGTACTATATAATCTAATAATCTTTTAATGGTATATATACCATAGATATAATCAACTGCTTGCTAGCAGAAAAAAATTTCTTATGATCAAAAATAATGATATGATTACAGTAATATAATTAAAACTGAGGGAGACAGAGAAAGAGAAAAGTAAAAAATCAGAATACAGGGTATATCTAGCTCCATAGTAGGAATCGGACAACTATAATGCTTTTGCATATAACATTCTTTTTAAACCTTTTTTTTTAGACTCCTACTTTCTCCTGTCTTAAAATTCCTCTCTCCTTCATCGATTAAGATTGTGTGGACACTTTATGAAAAGTATCTAATGAAACAAAAACTATTTATAATATCACTAGTAATCTCCCTTCCCCACCTCTCAAGAAAAAATAGCAAATTTTTACACATTATAACAGAAACTTGATGGTATATTACAAATAATACTAAAATATTAGTACTTAGCAATAGGACTTATATACCACTTCACAGTGCTTTCCATTCCTCTATAAGCAGGTTTCAGAGTCAGCATATTGCGCCCAATCTGGATACTCATTCTACTGACCTCAAAAGGATGGAAGGCTGAGTCAACTTTGAACCAGTGAGAACTGCTGGCATTTGGCAGAATTAGTCTGTGCCATCACAAAATAATACTAGTTATATGTGGGATCAGGAAAGAAAAAGACTGCTTTAAAAGTTCTTGTTCAAAATAGAAAAGCAAAATAGAAATGTAATTATCAAAGCCTAAATTGAAACGCAAGGCACATTTCTTCCCCTGCCTCGGGCTATGGGAAAGTTAGGGATTTGGTGAATTAAAGGCAGAGATATGTACATTAATATTGAGCATGTTTCAAGTGTTATTATGCCTTTCAATATATTTTTAATTTGAATAAAATATATTATTCTCTTTCTTCACAATCTAAAGATTGTGGAATGATAATTAAGAATGGAGAAAAAGACATAGAAAATTCCAATATTTTTAGAAAGGAGAACAAAATATTTTTTTAGGGTTTAGGACTAGGAAAGTTTCTATTTTTCTTTCTCTTGTGAAAGGCAGTAAAAATATTCAATGCTGATCAGACTTTAAAAAAAAAAGTGCCAACAATTATTTTTATAGGTACCACCCTTCCTGCTATAAGAATGTAAAAATACACTGCTCAAAAACAATAAAGGGAACATTTAAACAACACAATGTAACTCCAAGTCAATCACACTTCTATGAAATCAAACTGTCCACTTAGGTAGCAACACTGATTGACAATCAATTTCACATGCTGTTGTGCAAATGGAATACACAACAGGTGGAAAGCATAGGCAGTTAGCAAGACATCCCCAATAAAGGAGTGGTTCTGCAGGTGGTGACCACAGACCACTTCTCAGTTCCTATGCTTTCTGGCTGATGGTTTGGTCACTTTTGAATGCTGGCGGAGCTTTCACTCTAGTGATAGCATGAGACGGAGTCTACAACCTACACAAGTGGCTCAGGTAGTGCAGCCCATCCAGGATGGCACATCAATACGAGCTGTGGCAAGAAGGTTTGCTGTGTCTGTCAGTGTAGTGTCCAGAGCATGTGTCTGTCAGTGTAGTGTCCAGGAGACAAGCCAGTACATCAGGAGACGTAGAGGAGGCCGTAGGAGGCAACAACCCAGCATC